CAACATCTGTATATCTTGATATAAAATATATTGACATACATACATATTGTACTGTGTCGCACATTTAAGTGTAACCAACTTTTGTATAATTTTTTGATTAATCTGCTGATTCATCTACTTTAAATGTTTTATTTATACAATGTCTGAAAAGAATGAGTGCAAAGTAACATCTCAGATGTCTTTATTTGTCAAGAATCTAGATCTAAAACCCAGAGAAATAACGGGCAACAACAGGGAAAGGCAGTGAATCCTCACAAAATGAACTGCCTGCGCCCCAAAAAATGAATTTAGTTTTCAGGATTATCATGTAAAATGTATGTTTTAGTGTTTTGGACCGTTGGTCAGACAAAACAGGCAATCTTAAAAAGTCAAGCAGACTTGTGATTTACATATTACACTATTTTCTTTCAGTTTGAAAACCAAATCTTTCATTAATCATCAAGAAAATAATCACTGCATGAGTTGATAATGAACAAGGGGCAGCCCTAGCCTGATACAACCAGATATATGTAGGTGTTAGCTACCTGTCAAATCCCAGTTTCCCAGGTACAGTATAACCGCATATTGCTCATCCCCAGACTATTAAATAACTGAGCTTACAAGTCAACATCACAGTTTCTAAACTAGAATAGAATCAATGGGAATAGTAAAACACTTCCCATGAATAGAGCTGTCAGGTAATTTCTATGTATCTCTCTTTCCACTTCTGCTGTCACTAACCAAACACTCATATTGTACTCTGCGCCCGTCACTTTGAGGCTGCTGCTTCTTTTCCAAGAAAGTGGAAAGCTGCTTTGTTCCCATAATATGCCCTGTGTGATGCTTGGCCCACATTCCAGCCTGCTTTCATTGTGTAAGCACACATACATAAAACATGATTTGCTGCTTCAATTTCTGACTTTTATTCAGCTGGGATTTGGTGGCAGACAACATCAGAGCCATGAAAAGCAGAGCAGCAGCAAAATGCAACCCTCCTGAGCGAGGAGAGAGACAGAGGGTTGGCTGTGATACAGAGAACAAGGTTTAATCACTGACCTCTACTCTTACAACTGAAGACAAATGGCCCTGATTAATGAGGGCCATTCATCTTATAGGTTACGAAAAAAGAAAAACAATGACAACTGCATTTGCCCGTGCTGCTTTGATGGATCTATCTGCTGTATAAATTAAACTCCAGTCCTGTTAGTCTGCACTTCACTTCTGATCACGGAGCTCGGGTCAGACTGTCTGCACATCCATGACTGATCACTAGAGGGCAGTCTGTCTGAGTCTGGCTTTCAACTCAAACCTGATTTGATATTCAGACCTCAGGGAAAAACTGTTGTTAAAACAATTAATAGAGATATCTTTTTTCATCACATCCCATGCAAAACTGTGCCCTCCAGCTTTGGATTCAGTCCTTAAACAACATATTTTTATTTTAAGTTAGCCATTTCAAAGTACAGAAGTGTTATTAGTAACAGTATTTGATTTACAACACTTTACAAGATTATTGTATAAGATTGTTTATACATATGCATCAAGCAGCATTCTGTAGCTGGTCAAGGCGGAGCTAGTTGGTCTAATTAGGAGATGATTTATGAGAAAAGCTCTACTGCACAAATGGGTATCCATTTGTTGTATTTTTCTTTAATTGTTGCTTTTGTTATAGAATAATGGATCATTTAAACCCTTTCAGCCTCAAACAGTACGCAAACAAAAAACATTAGGGATGCACCAAATATTCGGCCGCCGAAAATTATCGGCCGAAAATGGTTAAAAAGGCTCTTTCGGCTTTCGGCCGAAAGGGTTTTAGCACCGAAAAAATATCACCGAATGTCAGAGAACAGGGTTACGTTGGTAAGCTAACGTGTTGTTGTGATGACGTAATCAAAACGCGGCGACAAGCACGGCGCGCGACCATGCTCGCGGCTGGCTCACAGCCAACATGTCTGCCGCTTGGAGATATTTAAAAATATCAGAGAAAGAGGCGCGGATTGCGATTTGTAAAACGTGTTCAGCTGACATTTCTCGAGGGGGTGTAACTGCAAAGACTTTCACCACTTCGGGATTACTCCACCACTTGAAATCAAAACACCCGGACAAATATGCGGAGTAAGATCAAATCACAAGCACTGACAGCGAGAGACTGTTCAGCGCTGCCTCTCATGTGCTTGATGAGAAGAGGAACAGACTTATGGCT